AGCATAGAAATAAGATTTATTTCTTCCCAACTTCCAAAAGGCTGTAGACCCTAATGGTGGGGAGGTTGATCTACACCAGGAGCTTGGTATGCTGGTAGAAAGTTCCCTGAATGACAGGCACATAAAGATAGAGAATCCACTTTAGTCTACTTACAAATTTCAAAAGAAAATACTTTTTGATCTAGAAGTTCCTAACTTGTTTACATGTATCAGATAGTAATGCAAACTTTATCCTATTTACTGTCCAATAATTCTGGTTTTAGAAACATGATATAGGCTCGATGTTTAATCAGGTAGGCATGGTCATCTTCATTGTCAGCTTGAATAGCTTTGGAATCCCATGGAAGCTGCTGTTTTCTGTAAAGGCTTTCTTGTTTGTTTCAGAGAACTGTGGTAAAAATCCTTTTCCCCTCAAGTTGTTTTGTCAGAGCACTTTATCACAACAGAAAAAGAAAGAAGACAGTTGTTCTTTACAAATGAAAATGAATAAAATTCATCTTGAAAAATATTGCTTCATATCAAATATCTCACACTGTGAAGCAAGTGCCTTCATTTTAAGGGGGAGGGGAGGTAGTACAGGAGTCAATGGGAAGAAAGTAAAAGGCAGGCATGGGGTTGCAGCACTAAAATCCCAGCACTACGGAGGCTGAGGCAGGAGAAAATGAGTGCCAGTCCTGGCCACACACTGACTTCAAGGCTCAATTTGGTGAGATTCTGTCACAAGAAAAGGTTGTTGATTTGCTATGAGATGTAAAACCTGCTTCCTTTCCAAGAGGACAGGTTGAGTCTACCTAATCAATTCTCCTCACCATATGGGTCTACAGCCATTCTGGAATTGAGAAGCGAGTATGGCCTGCTTCATCTCTTGCCTACCTTACCTCTCCTATTACCCAGCCTCTATCTGGCTGATGGAGTTTTGATGGCTCCATAGTCAGAGGATAAGGAAGCTGGAGGAGAACAGAATATTTATATTCTACTTGAATGACTGAAAGTAGCCTTTGGCCCTTAGTTAGTTAGGCAGGCATGGATTGGCACTTTTTGGATGCAGAATGTTAGTGAAAATACTCATCAATGATGTGGAATGACCACTGGACCCATTGGAATGGATGCTGGCTAGAATTTGTCACATGTCTACTCCTATGAACATCCATTTTCCCTGAAACAGAAGAAAGACAGTAAAGTATTTCCTGGTGTTTGTGAAATTTTATTAGTGGATTGCACCGTGTTTCTAGGCTGGGTGGCTGGAAATAGTTTAGGAATCTGATGCTGTACTCATGGAAATGTTTTCCCTGGACTGTGTACTGAGTGTTGATACATTGCTTCAGCTGCCCTCTTATGCAAACAGCACTGCTTGATTTCTTACATCTTGGGCTAAATCTGGCTGTTTGCTCAACTCAAAATTCCCTGTGATTAACCTATGCACTCTTGCCTTTTGCAATTTGACAACAATTTCCTTTCTCTTCCAGGATTTGTTGTTGTGAGCTGTACATTGGTTGAAATGATTAATACAAAAGGTCTTTTGGTGACCTCTCATTTCTTTGGTGTCAATGGGGTGTTTTCTTCGGTGTTTATTGTTTTGAACTGTAATTTCATGCTGTTTGCTAATGGGAGAAGTGTTTTTTTTTTTTCTGTAGCTATTTCTTGTAAGTTTTTAGATGAGCATATAATGTGTGTAGCTGCATGTATGTTTGTGTGTGTAGGATATAGGCACTGCCTTTTCTTTGTTCTTTTTGTTGTTCATGACTGCACAGGCGAACTCATTGGATCTTTAAAGCTAAGTTTGCTTGAGTCCCTTTCTTTTATGAAAATGTGTACAACGCATTACTTTCTTCTTGAATCACTTTCTCATTACCTTCTGGCTCAAACACTGCCCACATTCTCCCACATGCCCTTTGGGTGCAATCTGTCCTTTGTTTTGGATAACTGCTCTGGTGTTACCTACTTTCTAAATGAGACTGGACAGGAGAAGGTCACATTTTGCCAATACTTTATATGTGAACCTATTTTCCCTTTTAGCAGCTAATAATTTTCCCTTCTACTTACAGCTTTTGTGTACAAGCCTCATATGAGCTGTATAATATTTCTACATCTGTGTCTTAGCAGCACATGGTGCAAAGAACATTGGCTGCTTCTCTTCTAAGACATGTCTAGGATTAATAAACATAAGCGTAAGATGACAGACTCTCCACAAATTCAAATTACTATGGTTAGCCACCTTTCCTTTCTACTGCCATCCAAACACTAGACCTCACAGAGGATTTGGCATTGAGAGTAAGCTTTGCATTTTAAGAAGTGTTTTATAGTGCTTATTTGTTTAGATAGCTTCTTTTTCTGCACAGACTTAGGATCATATTTATGTGGAGAAAGGATTTGTTAAATGCTCTCAGTAGTATTTGCTTTTCCAATAACTCTTCATTGTTTGCCTGTTCAAACTACTATTATTTTATCCTCATTGTGTCTTCAATTTGAAGGGTTTTCTTGTGTACAGTCTATCAGGGTTCATGGGATTTATTATTTTGACTAAATTAATTGAATATTATGTATGTAATTTACCTATACATTAATATCCTAAAATAAAGTCAGGACTGGGGACAGGTTGAAGAGAGGTTGAAGTCTGGAGAGAGAGCCTGAGAGTGAAATCTAACCTGGGGGCCACCTTGAGGAGCTTATCAAGACACAACTGGGTAATCAAAAGGTGGAGCCTGTACAGAATGTTTACTGGTCTGGGTAAACCTGAAATATTTACATTGGCCAATGTCTCATCCTCCGTGCCTTTCACCCACTGATGAGGACTACCTGATATACTAAGCTATAGGCACAGAGGTATTTAGTATAAAGGGAAGTTTGATGCTGTACCCACTATATACACACTTGGTGAAATAATAGCAGTAGCTTCACCTTCTGGGCCCATGAGCTCCCTAACCCTGAGTTCTTGGCACAATTAATAGCATTAGGCATGTTTTTTCCCATGGAGCAGAAAGTGATTGTCGCCCCCATAATATTTGTGCCACTCTTGCACCCATGGCATAACTTGCTATGCTTGCCATTATACTTCACACTTCCTAGTTGTTGATGGTCCACCACAACCACCACCCCCAACAACCTACATAGCACCTTCCAATAATGTGAAAGCTAGCCAGCATGGAGGAACTCCCTTGTCAGCATCAGTTTGACTTTTCTATGTCCTATGGCAAAAATGTGTGGTGTCTTCAGCAATTTGTCTTATCATTGAGTTCTGTTGGGTAACTCAGAGCAGTGATAATAGCCCGTATTGTATTATGGGTCTCTGGGACACCACTGATCAACAACATGTAGCTTATGCCTAGCACCAGGCTTTTCATTTGGCAACCTGTGGCTTCATGAGGAAAATTATCTCCTCTTTAGGGCAATTCCAATTAAACTCTTTTATATGAACATATTTGTGTGCGTGTTTGTAGATAATATATGTAAATATGAAGCTTATAAAATAGTAGGTTTACATATGGCATTTTCAAACATCTTTAATGTTAGCTGTCTCTCCTGCAACCTCCTCATCTAGAGTAGGAGCAATAATTGCCACTTTGCTGTACTGTAGTCTACATTTGGAAAGAGAATAAACATTCAGCTCCCTTCCTCTGGCATCGCTGAGCTATGTATCAGAATCTGGCCTACCTAGTAATTGTTTTCCCTTATCTACATTTATTTCTGTCACTTAAAATGTTATTTTCTAAGCCTTAGTGTTTTAAAATTGGAAAATAAACAAGATTAAAGAGGTTTAAAAATACTCAGAAAACTGTTATTTCACGGAAAACTGTTATATATTGAGATCCTTTGATAAGATCTCAATCACTGTGTAGCCCAGATTGGCCTGGAGCTCTTAACTGCCTCAGCCTCCCATGTACTGAGATTGCAAGTGTATGTTACCATGCCTGGCAACTCTTCTTTTTAAATGGAACCATGAACATCATATGAATGAGAGCTCCTTATTTCACAGATGGAAATATGACTCTCAACAGTCAAGAAGTGGCTGTAGGTATTGGGAACCACTTTTTACAAACCTAAATAGATCCTGCTGTCCTACCACTCCATAAATATACAAAATTTTGTTTTAAATGGTGCATTTTTTTCTTTAGAAGTATCTATTGGAACTTTGTGTGAGTGTGTGTGTGTGTGTGTGTGTGTGTGTGAGAGAGAGAGAGAGAGAGAGAGAGAGAGAGAGAGAGAGAGAGAGAGAGAGAGAAAGAGAGAGAGAACAAGAATATGTGTGCCTCTTTCTGTGAGGATGGTAGGTAAGAGGATAATGATGTTGGCTTTTTTACTTCCTGGCTCCTAATGGTCTTACTTTGCCCCTGGTGAGGCAATAAGAAAACAGAAAGATGTCAGACTTCCCCAGATCCTGAGTTTACCTTCCAAATGATAATTTGGTTTTCCCACATTACATACAGCAAAGCAAGAAGTGGTACTGTATAGCCAGACATGCCTTGTTAGCTTGGGTATTATGTGGTTCCCTTGATCTAGATGCATCTTTTGCAGGATGTATCTTATAAATATCAGAAACTGGTTTCTGAGTATTGGGTGTAACAGGATGTAACTAGATTAGAAAGAAGAATTTGAAAGAAGCTAAGGGCAAAGTTGTATCTCCTGACTATTACCTCAACCTACCAGTTTCATTTCTCCAAATTTCCTTCCAGTTCTTATCATTAATGCATGCATTGCATCATGTAAACTTTCAACATGATCTTTTCTATTAGACATTATGCAATTTATCATATAATTAAGGACTTTGTGACTTCTTTTTAAAAGATGACATCATGTCCTAAAAATAACTTACAATTTATTTAATTATTCCTCTGTTGTAGAACATTTGGGTAATTTTCAGTTTAATTTTCAATCATATATGAAATATTCTGTCAAAGAGGTTTATAAAAACACAGCTGTCCTTCTGATTATGTTTTTGGAGAAAAGACTGATTACTGAGAATATCCAAAAGCATTTTATGATTATTGATTTGTATTTTCCAGCAAAAGATTTTATATGAAGTTTGAATTTTATACAGCTTGATGAGTGGATCTCCTTGGAAGAAGAATATAAAATTATGAACAGACTTCTCAGTAACTCTTACCTTGAGGTCACTCCACAGTGAAAAGCCGTAAGCTCATCCTGTTTGCATTTTTAGGCACAGATTTCTGGGTACTGTGACAGTTGACCTTTATCAGTAGGAAGTGAAAATTTCTTATCTTTGAAGATTCATGAGTACTCTGTGTTGTAATTTTAATATGCTAGTTAATTCAACTGTACTTAGAGATTCTGTTTTTGTGTGCATTTTTTTGGTTGTTGGGGCAGCACATTTTGTTGTTATTACTCCATAACAAAATACTCCAAAGCTCACAGTTCAAAATAACAGCCTTATTGTGTTTTGCAATTTGGTGGCCAAGATTAGATGGGGAATAGCTGTCTTGTTCTTCTGCTTAGCTTTCTGATTGAAGCTATCATTTCCATCTTCTGCAGGATACAAGATGGTTTCACATTCATGTCTAATATTCAGATGGGAATGAATAGAAGCCAATATTCAGTTAAGAGTAGCCAGCAGATCATCTTTATGAGATCTCTCCTACATGGTGGTCTTGGGACAATTCAATTTATTACTTGGCAGCTACTTGACAGCTGTTTCTGAATAGGCCAAAGTTTCAAGAATCTTTGAGTAGAAGATACAGGGTTTTTTAATGCTCTAGATTTGGAAATCCCTGAATCCTTCCTTTGTAACTAATATACTTTTATTAGTCTCTATGACCAATCCAGATACAAAGCAAATCTCAAAGAGAAAAGGAAAGAATCGAAGGCCATCTGTAACCTACCACAGACTGATCATGTTTCCCTGGATGTTTACAATTTGTATAAATTATCCATTTCATAACATCATGTACTAGAACTGGAAGAGAATAAATGCAAGCAGAATATTAATGTGTTTTCATGAGAACAAGGAAAATAGATACGGTATCAATCTGTAATATAGAATTTTTACATATGCTTTAAAGAAAGTATAAAAATTGTTTAATGGAAGGCTTAAATAATACCATTAGTTTATTGTTATATTTTATATTGTTCTATCTTTATTGTGTATTTATGTAGCTTATCTGTCCTTTCTGTTAAAATTTTTATTAAATTTTTTTTGTGTGTTAAGGGGCATGCGCAAAGTCAGAAGACAACTTTTGGGACTTCTTTCCCTCATTTCATCATCTGGAATAGAATTCAGATTGTCAGGCTTGAAAGCAAGCCCTTTTCTCTGCTATGCCATCTTGCCTGTTGAGGAAATAAAAATAATATATAAATTTTTAACAATTTTCATTATGGCAAAACCAAACAAACAAAAACTGTACCAGAGTTACCACTGCAGAAAATGTTACATCATGACCCAGGCATCCACTTCCTTCCTTTGTATTCTTCCATGCACTGTAGCTTTCTGGTATCCTCCACTTTACCCTTCCAAGTTTTCACTGCAGGATTTCAGTTGGATTTTGCCCAGAAGAGATCCTGAAAAGAGATTGAGAAATGAAGAAGAGAGAAAGTGAGTAATTTGTTTTCTCAGTTTCTGGGCCTCCTTGGGTGGCAACAGGTAGCTATGGACCCCGGTGCCCATAGCTCAGGAGCCTTCCTTGGTTCCAGGACTGGTGTATTGTCTTTAATGCTTCTGCCCAGTCATGCTCCCCTGACCTAATCCAGGACCTGTAATCAGAGTCCATGTGTCAGCTCTTATAAAGTAGAATGTCTGTTCTAGAAGCAGATAGCTCAGCCAGACTGTGTTTCTAGATTGGTATGAAACACACCTCACTTTTGACTGCCCCAGTACCTCATCTATGCTTCCAAGGTTCGTAGGGGGCAGCTTTCTTTGAATCTCCAAGATCTTTTGAGTCACCTTTGAATTGCATCAGTAAGTAGGCCCAGGCTTCTCCCACCACCTCCTCTCTTTTGTGTCACAGGTCATAGGGATACTAGATGCTTTCTGGAGTTATTAATATATTAATTTTGTTAACTCAATGCTGTTTTTTGCTCTTTCAGACTTCTAAACACTTTTTAAAACTAATAACTTCTGCTTGAAATATTTCACATGGTTTTCATTTTCCTTACCGAACCATGACAATATGGTAGGTGTTGCGTTACTGCCAGTCATTTGTAGATAGGAGTGGGAAGTCCCGTGAAGAAGAATACACAGATTAGTATAGTTGGTGTGGCAAAAGATGACAGTATGATCAAGACATGGTTGCATTATTTTCTATGTCTTTTATGTCATCCCTTATTTATGGGCTCTGTGTACGAGAATACCAATTGTTCTTCTCTAGGAATGACTATTTTCACAAAACAGAAAACAAACATTCTTAGGAGCACTACTTATTTTTTTCTTGTCAATGCCACATTCAATTTTGTAGAAGCTGAGGTCACAGGAATATGTCCATTGTTTTTTCTGTCATTAACAGTTCATGTACAGACTCTTACACTAAAATGTGGGTTATTATTAAGAAAAGACATTGCAGTGAAAACAGTTCCATTTTTCTTGATTTAAAAAATAGAAGTAAAATTCTATGAGTTGCCCCTTTGAAGCCATGAACTGCTCCAGGAGTTTCATTCTTTAAAACTAGCTGTGCAAGTATTAAGAATGAGAAAAAGTACTAGCTGATTCCTTTGAACAGAAGAATTAGCAAAAAGGAATCTTTCTTATTATGCCTTGGCACTTACATTTATTTTCCAATTATACAAAATTTATATTGAAAAGAATTATTTAATATCATCAGATGATAATTTATTAAGTAATATCTGACTATCAAATATTATGAATATACTAAATAACTAAAATAAAAATGCTTTAGTTAAAGAAGAAACTTCAAATTAAATATTTATTTATGAAAGATAATTAATTTTTATATTGAGCATATAAAAATGTTATATTTGAACAAACATAAAATTTCTTTTTGTGCCTGATCCTGTGGTTCTAATAGATACATTCTCATGTTAAGTTTGATTATTTACTTTTTATCTTTGTAGGACCACTTATTAATACTCATTCATGTCTTAAGTACCCTCCTTTATTGTTAAGTAAATCTTATATTTGAAAGACTGGTCTTAGTGAAAGTAGAAGGTTGTCTGTTGAAGTCAGTACGCTGAATGATATTTCATGTGACTGCCTTTGTAAGCTGAGGTCAAGTGCTGGACTTGATTTGCAAGCTAGGTGAAGAATAGACTACTATATTTATTAGAGTGGGCCAATGAAAAATGAAAGGACTAGAAAATCATGTTACCCAACACTGTCTCAAAATCATCTAGACAAGAAAGTGCCTGTGGTTTTCTTCTCTCTGCTCTTTTAACACAAATACCATTCAACCAGAGTTAAGGAGCACAAGTTTTAGACACTATATACATTGTAAGCAAACTTACCATGTTTTTGTTTTTATTTTGATGTAATGTTACTTGTGTCATCCTTGGTGACCACCTTTTGAGGATGTTCAGATACTGATAGTTTAGTGGGCATCCACATATACTACCCTGTCTGAGAGCAAAATAATAAGACAGGGTTACACAGTCACAAAATAATGTATTTGAGTCATATAAATGTTAAGTAATGTCACACTGTATTACAAAAAGAACGTATTTGTAGGGGATTTATTGTAGGATTGTGTGGAAAATGATTCATATGGCATTTGCTAACTATTCATATGTTGGGTCAAAAGACACTAAGTTATGCTGATACCCCATTTATGATCTGGGGGTAGTTTAGTTCCAGCAATCAATACTCTCCATGACATTGAATTAATATGCTTATTTTTAAAATTATTTTGAAGCTTAAAAATTTGCCTTTTTGCCTGGTGAAAGTTGCCATAAGCATATGGAATTTTAAAAATTGCAATACAACTATATTAAATTGTATACATTTAATCTCATCATTTTATACTTTCAAAATTTATATATTATTTAAAATTGAGAAATCTGCTGAACAAAGGCAGGCAAATGGAGTAAATGTCACCAAGGCTTTTATACTGTAGTAAAAATTAATTCCCTATAAATCTGTGGCTTAGTTTGTTATTGCTTAGCTTCATTTTTTTGTTAGTTTTATTGGGAGGTATGGTGGCAGAACTGACACCTCTAAGAGCTGAGAACAACTGAATAACATGGATTTTAAACCCTGTCCATTCCAGGACAAAATGTCAGCCAGTCAGCCCATCTCAGTGCAAATTATGTGCTCCTTCAGCATAACATAACTTATATCTACTCACATGTCCTTGGCTAGAGATAATGACAAGGTCCTACCTGGCTGCTAGCGTGAGCAGAAAGTTTGTGTCTAAAAACGCAAAGAGGTAGAAATGTTTGCTGGAAGGCACGTGTGGCTGTAACGACTTTGGACACATAAATTATGTGGAGATGTACATCTTCATGTAATTTAAAAAAATTCTTTAAAAAAATCTTTCCTAAGGAATCCTCACTAAATTCATTCTTCCTTTTTTTTCCAAACATAACAATTCAAGTTCCTCAAACCAATTATTTGACATTTTTATTTTTGTCATATGAATCTCCCAAAGTTTCCACATAGTACCTAAATAATACTCCCAGTGGAACTAAATGTAACATACTCATCTTCCATTTTCAGTATGTTTGACTCTTATGTATTATTTTGCCTTTTTTTCAATATGATATTGCAGTTTTTATATTTGTGTTCCTTCCTGACCATAGCCATAACTTCATTCAACCTATTGTTGGGTTCATTAAAATAATAATTTATTTTACTTTTTAATTACTTGGTATAATTTAGTAACTATCCTATTCTTTTGGACCATTTTTTTTTCTATTGAAGTTTCCCTGGACCATTTGTGGTGTTGCTGGTAATAAATTCATCATACTTTATTGAAAATATCACAAAACATCTAAACCATTCTTTTCTACCTCATAACAATCAGAAATGTCTCAGCTTATGAGAGTTTATGGGAAAGCCATACAAGGAATTAAGGAAAATGAGCAATGTGAGAAGTCAAAAAATTTGGCTTTACTGACCTGGAACAATTGCATCCTGGGTTCTGCAACAGCTGAGGTGATTTGGAGGTAACTCATATGTCATTTCCTTAGAAGACTCAGGGCTCTCTATACAAGGGTCCAAGGACTCACTGTACATGTGGTTCTTTGTGTGTTGTTGAGAATGTGGACTTGGGGCCGGAGTGCTAGGATTCAGCTCCACTTCTGTTCTTTCTCAGAAGTATGATATTGGGTAAGTAAGTGGTCCTTGTGTACCTCAGTTCCTTAACTAGCAGATATTCACAACAGTCTTTGATCAGTCCCACAGTGTTGCTGTGAGGGTAAGAGGTAATACAATTGCACCCAACCTTTTCTGGAAAAGCTGTTATGAGATACTGCCCTCAGTAGTAACTTGCCTTAGCCTCTTCCTACTTCTGGATTTTTCTTATTTACAATCTAGTGTCTATTATCTTATTTTACTAGCAATGCTTTAAAATGCTGAAGGTTTTAGGTTTTACTTTCTTCTCTACTTCATCCTACACCCTTTACACGAAAACAGACCCCTTTTCATTATTTTTCTTCATAGATCAAAGTCTGTCTGGAGGAACACTTATGCTTCCTTCTGAGAATTTTGTGGGCACCCTTTGTTCGCAGCAAGGATACCAACCCACCTTTCTTAGTTCTTGTTTCTTTATTTCATAGTTACGTGACAATTTCACTCAGTTTGTTTCCTTCACTGAGTTTAATTTGAGGTGTTTCTTTTGGATATGGTTAAATGCCAGAAGCTGTACATTTGAAAATAACAATTGTAAAATGATCCCTTAAAGCTTATAATGAGTAGTTCCCTAGGATATTAATAGAATTGTAATGAGTGACTTACTTCTGTTCTTAAAATAACAAGTGGTAAGCTTTACTCAAAGAATCACTTCTTGGTGATTCAGATTTAGCTTTCTCTATTTCTTAATACCAATACTAATTAATGATCTTTCATAATCTTGACAGAAGGTTGAAGAATGATATGAGTTGTATACTAAATTAGGGAAGACAATGTCTGCTGATCACATTTGAAAGGCCTTCCCCTGCTGAACTTCTAAATTCAAATGGTGTTTTGGTCTCAAGACCAAAACATTTAAATGTGCAATTAAATATTGGACATCATTATCATAATGCTGATCATGATAAAGTTTTGAGGAGAATAAGAAAGAAGGTGAAGTATTAGTTAAGATATTTAATTTTCTTTTTTTTTGACCAGTTTTCTTTGGTTGATCTTGGTACACAAAGTAATTTGCTGCTTTAGGAGGGAAAATAGTTTAATTTTATCAAAATTTAATCATTATTTCTGGAAACTACACTCCATATGAAAAGAAAAGTCTTTCTTGTTAGGAGAAACCTTGTTAGTGAACCTGTAAATATATCATGCTATAAGCCATTGATATCTTGCATGCTTCAAACATCTCTAATGTGTGAGGAGAAGATCTATTTTTCCCCCTCTGCTGGTTATTCTTGTGAACAGTTATTCAAAAAATGGCATGGGCATAACTGTACAGACAGAATGCCATGAGCTAGGCAGTT